GGGGGAAGGGGAGGGGGGCAGGAAGGGAGAGAACAAGGGAATCTGTAGAACTGAATAGTATTGTAAAATAAAATAAAATAAAAAAACATCTTGAGTGAGGTAACCCAGATTCAGAAAGGCAAACAGGGTATGTACTCACTCATAGGAGGATACTAGATGTAAAACATAGGATGACTAGACTGCTACTCACAACTCTAGGGAGGCTACCTAGAAAAGAGGACCCTAAAAAAGACACAGGAATCGCCTAACAGCAGAGAAGTGGATGAGATCTACATGAGCAAACTGGATGTGAGCTGGGGTAATGAAAGGCCAATGTCGAGGGAAAGAAGCTTAGGGGAGCAGGATATCCCAGCTGGATCAAGAACAGAGAGGGAGAACAAGGAAAAAGAGACCATGATAAATGAATACCCCATGGGAATAGGAAAAAGCAAAGTGCTAGAGAGGTCCCCAGAAATCCACAAAGATACCTCCAAAATAGAGTACTGGCAATGATCGAGAGAAAGCCCGAACTGACCTACTCTGGTTTTTGGATGGCCGAACACCCTAACTGTCATGGCAAAACTCTCATCCAGTGACTGATGGAAGTGGGTACAGAGATCCATGGCCAGACCCCAGGTGGAGCTCTGGGATTCCAATTGTCAAGAAAGAGGAGGGATTTTATGAGGGAGAATTGTTGAGTCCATGATTGGAAAAAGCACAGGGACAAATAGCCAAACTATTGGAAACACATGAATTATGAACCAATAGCTGAGGAGACACTAACTGGATCAGGCCCTCTGGATGAGTGAGACAGTTGAGTAGCTTGATCTGTTTGGGAGGCCCACAGGCAGTGGGACTAGGACCTGTCCTTAGTGCATGAGCTGGCTGTCTGGAACCTGGGGCCTATGCAGGGACACTTTGCTCAGCTTGGGTGAAGGGAAGAGGGGACTGGACCTGCCTCTACTGAATCTACCAGGTTGAGCTGAATCCCCAGGTGATTCCTTGCCCTGGAGGAGATGGGAATAGGAATTGGGGTAGGGGGAGAGAGGGGGCAGGAGAATGGGGGGCAGAGGAATCCGTGGCTGATTTGTAAAATTAAATTAAATTATAAAATAAAAAAGGAAAGAAGCACAAGTCAAACTTTTAAAAGGTCCTACTAATTTAGAAAGTTGATCACTAGAGAATGATATAGGTACACACATGAATAGTGCTACTGAATGTTGTAAGATGATATGTGTTCCCATAGAATATAACAGAAGGTATTAAGGCAAATGAGTGCTTATGAAGCTTAAAATACCTGTAGAACATAGCTTTACACCCTCAAAATCCTGTCCTTTCTCCTCTGATCCCTAATCTAGTCACATTCAACTACACTTGTTTCCTTAAGCAGATTCCAGTTGTTGATTTTTTTTTAATTTATACTTCCTATTACTGTTTTTTTCTTCAAGATACACTGTTAATGTAAACAAAGGTGCAGTGAGAACTTGAAGTATACACTCTTGAGCTAACCTAAATGATGAACAATGATGCCATTGAAGTCCAGCATGTAATTCTATCCAATTAAATACTTCCTTTTTCTTAAAAATATACCTAGTAAGCTCTCTGTGCTACATAAGC